TAAGATACAAATAATACTCAAATATTAAAAAAAAAAAAAAAAAAAAAAAAAAAAAAACCCTTTAACAAACACTCGCGTACATACAAACAAAATTAACACAAAGGACAACATCAAATCAGAACTCCAATTACACCTCGATTTGCATTAATAAATTTAAGGACAACTTGTGCAAAAGATATAAAAGCTGTGAAGGGGGTCGTTTTAGATAGGGTCATAGAAGAGTCCTGTATAGTGTAACAGGTTTAAGTTACACACGAACATTACATTTAACTTTAAGATAATTACAGAGCAAGCGTCTGATACAATCTATCAAGTGGGACGTTTGGCTTTTACTGAAATACTTATCTGGCTATTCACCAGAGGGCAGCCTTGTCGTCACAGTTAGTCCAACAGTTTATGTTAAAGGATTGGTTACAAAGCTTTAATATCAAAATTATCATTATATATAGCATTATCGATTTTGTAAAACTTCCTCTGATCGACGAAAATAGGACAGTCCTCCACAAAATGTTTCGCGTCTACAATGGCATTACAAGAAATACAAAGTTCACTATTTTGTAAGCTGAATCTCTTAAAATAATAGGGAAATCTCCCATGGGCAGTAAGAATTTGGTTTAAATCAAAATCAGTAGTGTTAAAAATAGCCATTTTTGCTAGAAATTCTGATTGTTACGTAATGCCGTCAATAAACTTCGGAAGATATCCACGAGACAGTTTTATGAATAACTTTATTGAATGAACACGAGACTTTTAATGCATTAATGTTTTAATGACGCGAGTTTTATGTATCCTTTTTTTGTGGATGGCATCAGTTTTCGGCGTTGCCATGCACGTTCTGATCCGTGTTTGCTTAGTGATAGAAGTGTTCTATGAATTTAATGTTGATATGAATTGAATTGAGTTATATATTGTATTTGTGTTCTGTTTATTGAATAATATCCTAGTTCCTGCTTTACTTCAAAGAAACTGTGAAAATGCTGATGTCGAGTATTAATTATGTATTTATTCGTCAAGAAGCATGTGCAGAATTCAAGTAGATAAGATTTATTTCTTTTTCTATAAATATTGAAATTGTAAACAGATATTCTAATAGTAGACTCACTGCGTCTAATCATTATTAAGGTTTATATACGTATATTAAGAATCTGTGCAGAACAACTGTTGACGGGTAGTCTCGGCGTAGTTCTGATATTTTTGATAATATTTTCTTTACAAGTGGCGTCCGCGACAGGACGTAGTGAGGTTTTTGTTAGAATTATTTTATTGAATGGTATTTTGTGAAGTAAAGCTAGTTTAATTGATCATTTTATTATGAATCCTTTAACTGCAAAACGCGGAGGATTGCGTTCTACCTTTACCAAGACTGTTAATGTTTTGAAAGGAGAAATTGGTAAGGATGATTTTTCAGCAGGTATAATTAAAGATAAATTTACAAAGATGCAAATGTTACAGAAAGATATTGCGGAACTTAACGAGCAGATTTTGAATTTTATAATTTCGAGTGATGTAACGCCTGAAAAAGTTAACGATGAAATAGAAAGCTGGGATATTTATAAGGATGAATTTATTACCATTTCTCGCTTAGTTACTGAGAAGTTAGGTGTTTTAGAACAGACAAATTTAGAAACTAAGTCGCAAGGTAGTGTTTCTAGTAATTTACCTCGTAATACTAGATCGTTAAAGCTCCCGAAAATAGAGCTTAAGAAGTTCGATGGAGAATTATTGAACTGGCTTCCGTTTTGGTCTCAGTTCGAAAAAATACACGAGGACCCTGACTTGCACGAAAGTGACAAATTTCAGTATCTTATGCAAGGCATGAAACAAGTACGCGCGCTAGAGACTTTATTGACAGTTACCCAATGTCTGCGAAAAATTATTCAAAAGCTATTAGTGCTTTTAAGGAACGTTTTGGGAATCATGATTTATTAATTGTGTATACGTGAGATAGCTTTTAAAGTTGATTGTAACGAATGTTAAGACAGGCAGTAGTGAAAAATTACCATTGCCGCAATTATTTGATAAGATTGAAGCACAACTAAGAGCTCTCGAATCCTTAGATATTAAAACGGAAAGCAATGCTTGTTGGTTATATCCCATGGTAGAATCATGCCTCTCGGAGGAAGTCCTCAGAGCCTGGCACAGAAGCCCGCTTTTTGGAGAAGTAAAGGAAAGTCAGAATATTTCTCGCCTAACTAATTTGATGAAATTTTTAAGATGCGAAGTGGAAGGGGAGGAAAGACTTAAGTTAGCGCGGAGTGGATTTGAAATTTTTGGGCAAAAAGACAAGTATTGCAATAAATCGAAACAGTTAACGAATGTCCCTACGGCGGCAGGTTTCCTTACGACGAAAGATAATAACTGTATTTTTTGCGATAAACTACATGATAGTAAGGACTGTTTCGAAGCACGCTCTCTGTCATTAGATGAGAAAAAGAATAAAATTAGGCTTAAGATGTGTTGCCTAAAGTGCCTTTCGCCTGGACATGTTGCTAAGTCGTGTAAACAGTTTGTTCGTTGCTATGTGTGTGGTAAGACTCACACAAGTTCTCTCTGCAGATACAGGAAACGCAGGAAAAGGCAACAGAGCCAGACAACTTTCAGGCAACTACGGCGGGACAGATGTGTTCCACAGAGGTAGCTCTCATGACAATTAAAGTCAATGTGTTAGGAAAATCAGGCACGAGAGAAGTACGAGCGCTTCTCGATTGCGGATCACAAAAATCATTTAGGACTAATTCCCATTGCCGAGGAAACTGTAGCTCACACGCTTTTTGGAGGGGTTAAAATTGAACCGAACGTACATAAAAAGTATCGGATCAAGCTACGCTCTTTCAATCCTTATATGAGAAAAGAAATGGAATTTGTGTTTTTGGATCAGGAAGCTATATGTGGAAATATAGCACGCGTAAAGGCCCTATTTTAAAAGAATTTAAGTATAAAAAGATATGGCTTTCAGACATAGGAACAGGTTGCCCGAAGATAGAGATGCTAATAGGCAGTGACATTTACGGTACAAGTCTTACAGGGTCAATGGTCATGCAATTAAGTCATGCTCGATGGAGGTTTGACTGCAACTGACACTACATTAGGATGGACAGTTTGTGGTCCACTTAAGGAGCATTCTGAACCAAAGTAGTGGTATATCTACTCAGAATGTAAGTCTGACGCTTCGGGACCTAAACGTATCCGATCTTTGGAACTTAGAGACAATAGGAATTTCAGATTCTAGCAGTAATTCTACAAAGAACACGGAAGAAGATATTGCTTGGAAACATTTTTTAGGCTCCTTAGGTAAAAATGAAGAGCAAAGTCACGTAGCAGAAAAGCTTCGAAATTCTTTCTATGTCGATAATTGTGTCACGTCTCTTGACACAGAGGAAGAGTTGAAAGATTTTATGGATAAATCAATTGGCATTTTGGCAGAAGCTAAGATGGACCTACGGATGTGGACATTCGGTCCTATAAACGACGTTAATAAAATTTCGAGGAATGATAATTCGGAATCTCTTTCTAAGAATCAGATTTCAGTCTTGGGTATTCTATGGGATAGAACGGATGATAGCCTTTCTATTCATATTAAGCCTGTGCGAAATCTAGACAACCTGTCAAAAAGAGAGATTTTGTCCTTAACACAGGGGATTTTCGATCCGCTAGGGTTCTTAGCTTCCTGTATTATTACCGGCTAAGTTATTGATTCAAGAAGTTTGGTCTATTAAAGCAGATGCTCCACTGTCAGAAGAGGTCAAACAAAAATTTTTGAAATGGTACTGTGAATTACAGATCTTATCAGATTTGAAAATATCCGCGCAGAACAGGATATGGAAACAAACAAACTTGGACTTTGCATGTTTTTTGTGACTCGAGCCAGAGAGCTTACGCGACCGTGATTTTCTTACGCTGCGAAAACAATGGTGACACATGTGTAAATTTTCTGATCGCAAAATCTCGTGTTGCACCTTTAAAAAAGATGACAATACCACGTCTTGAACTTTTAGCCTGTGTTTTAGGAGTACGTCTAGCGAAGTATGTTGTAGAGGCATTATCCTTAGACGAAATTGAAAAACATTACTGGTCTGATTCCACCACACCTCTGTCATGGATCAAGCGCAATGATCAATGGGGAACTTTTGTAGAAAATCGTGTCAGAGAGATTTGTGCACTTTCAGAGGAAAATCAGTGGTCTTACGTGCCAAGCCAGTTAAATCCAGCTGATATACCATCTCGTGGTTGTACCCCTCATCAAATTCTAAAGAATTCATGGTGGGAGGGTCCTAACTGGTTAAAGAATCCGAAGGATAGTTGGCCACGCCTTGAAATTAAACCCAATGAGGCATTAATTTCTTCAGAAATCAGAAAGAAAACTGTAATATTAAATGTTAGTGTGAGTACTGAAACATCTAAGTGGTATGAAAAATATTCTAAATTTTCAGCAATTGTAAGAATTTTAGCATGGGTTCTAAGATTTATTAGAAGCTGTCAGGCAAAATCTGTAAATAGAGCAAAATTCTTGTCTGCAGCCGAGTTAAAAGATTCAAAATACACTTTGAGTCTACTAGTTCAGCGTGAAAGTTTTTCTCAGACTGGAGATGTAATAATAATAAATGGCCTTTCAGTCGTCAGAGATGAAATATGACTGATAAGAGTGAAAACAAAGATTCTCGGCAAGAGATGATGAATTTGGATTTAAATATCCAATTCTACTTCCGTCAAAGCATCATATTGTGCAAAGTCTAGTGCTCGAATACCATAAAAAGAATTCTCATGCCGGTGTTCAAATGCTCATGTCGATTAGAATCTGTACTTAAGGATGTCACGACCTCCAAATGTATTGCTCTGTAGACTGCGCATGTAAACAGCACCACCCAGGCTTCAGTCCTTTCCCTAAGAATAAGGGGATCCACCCTAAGAATAAGGAAAAAACTTTAAATGTATTAAGTCAATTCCGGTGACTTCGAAAATTCAAGCGTCCCGTACTGTGCCTAAATGGTAAATGAATAGGTATGGTTGAAGGTGACTTTGTTGTGAATCTCTTGCAGGTAATGCATTTCCGCTAGACAAACAATTAGATCAATAATCAAAAAATGCATTACCTGCAAGAGATTCACAACAAAGTCACCTTCAACCATACCTATTCATTTACCTTTAGACAGAGTACGGGACGCTCGAACTTTCGAAGTCACCGGAATTGACTTGTGTGGTCCCCTTATTCTTAGGAAAAGGACTAAAGCCTGGGTGGTGCTGTTTACATGCGCAGTCTACAGAGCAATACATTTGGAGATCGTGACATCCTTAAGTGCAGATTGCTGTGCACTCGCGTTGAGAAGATTCATCGCTCGACGAGGCCGTCCGACAGTTATCTATAGTGACAACGGCACGAACTTTATCGGTGTCCCTTGTGCATTGAACCAAATTGAGTGGCAAAAGATAGCTGCTCTTGAAACTCTAAATCCAATTAACTGGAAATTCATTCCCCCAACCGCAGTATGGTGGGAGAGACTAATTCGCATAGTGAAAAATCGACTTGTTCGAGTTCTTGGTCAGTCGTCTGTTACGTATAAAGAACTGCTCTGCGACGCAGAAGCCACTGCTAACAACCGCCCGTTAACATACATCTCCAACGATGCAGATGAGTTGAGGCCTCTAACACCATCCAACTTTCTCCAAGATGTAAAAGAGATTGGAACGGCTGATCTTGATCATCTGGATAGGAACAAACTGGCAAAGAAAGTCCTTGTTGGTTCTGAAAACCAGAAGAGACTTAATTGGCCGCTTGCAGTGATTGAAGAACTGTATCCAGGGAGAGACGGCCATGTGAGAGTCGTCAAAGTCAAAACTCCACTTGGTCATCTCGTTCGTCCAGTCCAAAAAATTTACCCTCTAGAAGTTAATTCTTCTCGGGATCCCATTATACCAGATCAACATCCTACTAATGACCCACCAGCAACATCACAGAATGACATTCCAATTCAGAAGGATGTTTCAGCAGCTCCTCGGACGTCAAGAACCGACAGAGTAATCAAGATACCTAAGAGACTGGGCTATTGAACTTTCGAACTTTGTTGATTTACCTCGAAGGGGGCAAATCAAGGTGGGAGGATGTTACGTAATGCCGTCAATAAACTTCGGAAGATATCCACGAGACAGTTTTATGAATAACTTTATTGAATGAACACGAAACTTTAAATGTATTAATGTTTATATGACGCGAGTTTTATGTATCCTTTTTTTGTGGATGGCATCAGTTTTCGGCGTTGTCATGCACGCTCTGATCGGTGTTTGCTTAGTGATAGAAGTGTTCTATGAATTTAATGTTGATATGAATTGAATTGAGTTATATATTGTATTTGTGGTCTGTTTATTGAATAATATCCTAGTTCCTGCTTTACTTCAAAGAAAACTATGAAAATGCTGATGTCGAGTATTAATAAAAGTGTTTATTCGTCAAGAAGCATGTGCAGAATTCAAGTAGATAAGATTTATTTATTTTTCTATAAATATTGAAATTGTAAACAGATATTCTAAGAGTAGACTCACTGCGTCTAATTATTATTAAGGGTTATATGCGTATATTAAGAACCTGTGCAGAACAACCGTTGACGGGTAGTCTCGGCGTAGTTCTGATATTTTTTGGTATTTTCGTTACACTGATAATTTTCATGCATCCTTTATTTTTTGGTGCATTTTATCACAGGATTTTCTATTTGTCAATGTAAAATTTCTTCATGTGTGTAATGTCCGTCTGTTTAGATCCTCAAATTTCAATAAAGGGGATATCCATATCGGAGGCTGCCTCCTTGGCCAGACAGTTGGCCATCTCGTTTTCAATATGCCCCACATGAGCTTTGATATAATGCAGTTTTACATCTAAATACCCTCCAAAGGTTGTAAAGAGTTCTTGATTTTCAAGATGATGGAATTGGCGTTGTCTGGGCGGGAGAGAGACTGAAGCAGCGACTACCAATCTGTGTAAATATTAATCACATTTCGAAAAGCAACGCATCTCTGAATCCAAATTAAGGCTTGATATAGAGCTTCGCACTCTGCGTGAAAGACAGAGTTACAGTTATTTAATCTAAATTTAATATAGTCGATTTCGACACCAAAACAATATACAACAAATGCTACTCCAATCCTCCCCTCAATCCCAGACCCGTCTGTATATATATTGTATACACTAGAATCAACAATCTCTTTGTAATGAAAACAGCCAATTCTTTTAGAGGGGTGCAAAGTTGAATATTATAGCGCTCAAAAACATACTTTGTGACAATATAATCATTATATATTTTAAAAACAGTTCAGTTGGTACGTAATAAGAATTTGTCCACAAAGAATTCGTAGATAATTGAAAGGGGCGGCCATCCCGCCAAGACAAACACAGCCTCAGTGGGGACTGTCCTAAAGCATCTTGTGACCGCTAAAGCCCAAGCTCTCTGTATACTATCAAGCTTAAGCCTCAACCTGACAAGCTCCTCTGCTCTATGTTACCAAGCGCCAATGCCGTACATGATCATTGGTAAAATAACATTTTGGTAGATTAACTTCAGGGTGGAGGATTTCGTTGCTAAGACGTCAGCTGAAAAAGTCCTTTTAAAGTACAATAAAATCTGATCCGTTTGCCGTTGCAGTTCTCTAATATGTTTGACGACATTCAATTTATTGTCAATGATAACACCCAAAAGTTTTATATCTTCAACAAAACGTATTCTTTTCACTAAAAATCTCAGTCGTGGTGTTCTCGCATTCCTACCACCTCTGGGGGAAAATAAAGCATTTGTTTTATTTAAAATAAATTTCAATTTTTCATTCCTTTGCCAACTTTCTAAAATGTTGCAATTACCAGTGAAAGATCTCTGTTTTTCTTTCCGAATGAATCGTGTAAGTTAAAATCGTGATATCGTCAGCATAAGCGTAAATCTTAACATTCTAGGGAACTTCACATTTTAGTAATTTATCAATGATAACATTCCAAAACAGGGGAGTGCTGCAGGATCCCTGTGGGCAACCTTCATATATATTAAAAGCGTAATCCTTATTTTTATCACCAAAACAAACAAGATCTTCCTGCCGATAAAGTAGTTTTTAATAAAGTACATTTTTATGAATTTTCAGTTTAATCAAACGCTGGAGCAATGAGAACCAATCCACCGAGTCTAAGGCCGCCGAAATATCCAATGAGAGCAATACCACATGTTGTTCATTCTTATTATTTCTAATAAATTTAATAACTTCAAATAAAGCATGTTCTGTAGACTTTACAGAGAGAATCCACTTTGGCTGTTAATAAACGGACAATTTATGCTAATAAAATAAATTAATCTATCTGTAATCAATCTATCCATGACTTTACCAAGAAAATTTAAGAGCACTATGGGCCTTTGTTTCCCATTACTTTTATGGATCAACATGAGTCGACTTCCAACTCCGAGGGAAAACAGACAATCTTAAACAAGTATTATATAGAGTCTTTTGCTAAAAAATCGAAGCACCATGAAGGAAGTGGTTGTTTTTGATGAAATATGTGCATAGCTCATACACAGATAATAAAATGATAAAAAAATCAAGGTCATAGTACCTGTTGACAGCTCAAAATCACCCATTGAGTGTTCAAATTAGTAGTTGGTCGAATCGCCCCTGGCGGCAATGCATGCTTGAATTCGTCGAGGCAAGAAGTGGTAGAGGTTCCCAATGTCATCCTGCGACACATTCTGCCAGGACTTCATCAGTTGTCGCTCCAGATCTGCGATATTTTGTAGTGTCCTAATCTGGCAGCCTACCATATCCCAGACATGCTCGATTGGTTAAATGTCTGGTAACTTTGCTGGCCAAGGAAGAGTATCAACCGCACGGAGACAGTCCAAAGATATGCCAGCACTATGTGGCCTGGCATTATCTTGTTGGAAAATGGCCGCAGGATGACGTGCCATGAAGAGAAATGCAATCGGCCGCAGGATGGCATTAACATATCGTTGAGCTGTTAAAGATGTACGGAAGATGACTAAAGATGACCTGCTGTCATAAGAAATAGCGCCTCACACCATCACCCCAGAGGTTACGGCTGTATGCTTTTTAAAACAAAGGCTGATTGAGACCGCTGGCCCCGTCCTTTCCAGACACGAACACGGTGGTCTTCTGCCTCAAGAGTGAAGCGGGATTCATCGCTGAACACTATACGATGCTAGTCTGATGGCAGCCATGATGACCGGCTGCGACACCACTCCGCCGATGTTGTGGGTGTCATTGGCAAACCTCTTAAAGGCCTCTGCGAGCGTAACCCCGCCTCAGACAAGCGCCGTGAGATGGTGGACGGTACTACGGGAGGTATAAACGTGGCTATAGTGCGTTGAATAGTCGACAATGATACCGTTGGGGCGGTTCGGGCCTGGAGAATAATCATCCTATCTTGTCTCGCCTATGTGATACTTGGCCTTCTAGAATCTTCATTTCGTCGGCAATTTCCTTGTAGCAACCATTGCTGCCAACATCTTTGCACAGCAGTGTCTGCACGCTGCAGGTGGCGGGCTATTGCTCGGTATGACCACTCAGCTTCACGCTACCCTACAATGCGACCTCAGTTTATAGTCTAATTGTCTGTAAGGTCTTCGATATCGTCGTAATGGCATATTTAGTTGCTTCTTTACGGAATTACAGTGGCAACAACAAAAAAAGATAAATTTCTCGCCTCTGTTACTGGTTTTATATTTTGCGAATTGCGCGTTATGATCACAATTCCTGTTCATTTACCTTGAAACTTTGATCATTTGCATATTCGATCAAGACGCTTTTGCATACCAAATTTCGTCCCGATCGTAAAAGTCCTTCTTGGTGCTTCGAGTTTTTGAAAATGTGCGTATGTCAACGAAAAATGATGGAAACATGCTAAACAGTCGTTTAACCAGAACTGAATGTATCCGATCCGGGCCGGCAGCAGCAGTATTCCGAAATCGAGAGATAAGGCAGATTTCTTCTTCGGTAAACAATGGATCGTCCGCACCGCACTGCCAAGCACTATTTTCTAAAGCTTTCAATGTCAACAAGAGAGCCCAGTTCAAAAATGTCTTGTATATAAAACTCGTCGATTTCCTCTATGCTGCCCCCGAACCATCAAGTCTTAACAATGAGACGAGTAACGAACAATGAGAAGTAAAACGAACCATCAGGTCTTTTAACAATGGGACCGTACTGGTACTGTCTTGTCCGTGACCTTGGTTGTGGGGACGTTATATGGTCTGATATCGAAAGACTGTCCGAGGGGGATTGACTCCTCTCGGTCTATGCAGAGGGACGGCGATGTCAGACTTTTGTGACTTCGAAATTTTTAATACTGTGAGAGAGAGTGGTGATCCCGCTCGCAGGAAAAGCGTTGTTTGGAGTAGTTGAAGTTTGAGAAACGGCCCTGTGGATCTCTTCGTGATGGTCGCCCGTCGTGTCTCTTTCGATGAATTTGCTTTGGGATTTATGTCTCTCTGCATCGACTGAGGGGGGATATCGCCTAATCAGATCGTCTCTGGAGTTTGAGTTAATGTAAATGTTGAATGGGGAACTACGTTCCCTGCGGCAAGGCTCTTACTCCGGCGTTCCGTTCCATGTCTAATTTGAAAATGAAGAAGCAACACGGAAGCAAGAAATTTACAGTACATGTTGACTAAATAGTTCTTTAATGAATGCGACATAGAATGTTTCTAAAGTTTAACACAAACATGAATTATAACAAACAATTGCACTCTTGGCAGAGAAATCTAAGTCTTAGAGATAAAGTATATCACAGTTTTTTGAGGAAAAATGGGGTGATAACATTACAAAAATTGGTTCTAATAAATGGAATGTGTCCAACCCTAGCTGTAATACACTGGCGGCAGCGACGTTCCATGCTGTCAATTAAGTTATCGGTTAGTGAAATGGGAAACGACGTCCAGATACGCAGTAATCCTTTTCAAGCTCATCTAACGACATTGAAGGAGGACTTAAAGCAGCTACCTGTCTCCCAGAATAGTTCCAAAGATGCTCTATCGGATTCAGCTCCCCATTCCACCCGCTCCATATCG